AAAAAAAAAAAAAAAAGTAACCTACAAAATCACAGAAACCTTTACTTTAAAAAATATCAACATGTGAACCTACTGTTTCTAGACATATCTGGCCATCTAGGCCTATACATTCTGAAGTCAGTGGTTTCTGTCTCTAAAGTCCTGGTGCAGTGCTGTAGGATAAGCACTGGACTGCTAACCACAATGTCAGTGGTTCAAACCCACCAAGTGCCACTCTGGAAATCCTATACAGAGTTGCTATGAATAGGAACCGACTACATGGCACTTAACAACAACATTCCTCCCCCAGAGAATTCTGTACTCTCCAATTTACACTGTGTCAAAATGATAGTTTGGGCACCCTCAAGGGACTCAAATCATGTTCCTTTTAAATGTTATTTAAGTTTAGCAAACAAAAAGAAATCTGAAGGGGCAAGATCAGGACTGTATTGTGGACAGGTTAAGCTTTCCAAATGAAATTCTTATAGGACAGGCCTTTGTACCGTCAGAGAATGAGCAGGTGCTTTGTCATGACAGAAAAACTTCCTCCACACAACTTTCTTAGCCTTTTTCTCATCAATGCAGTTTTCAATTTTCTTAAAACTTCTTTCTAATAAGTCCCCATGATCGTCCTGTGTCCCTCAGGAAAATCTATGATGCTCAACCTTCAGAGTCCCCCCAAAAAGTCACCTCAAGCCAGCAAACAAGGGACCCCTGGTTAGAGCGTTTTGAAACTAAAGAGTCCTGGTGTGGTGCTGTCGGGTCAGCAATGGACTTAACTGCAAATGCAAACCTACCAGCTGCTCCTGGGAAACCCTCTGCAGGGTCACTATAAATCAGAATTGTCGTTACTGCACTTAACAACAAGGAGACAAAGACAACTGTATTACTGAGAGAACTTACCTGGCTTGTGTTTAAATTTCTTCAGCAAAATTGTACTTGAATATGATATTAATATTGTTTGATGGTTTCTCCATTCTTAGAAATGGGCACAAATATGGAACTATTCCAATCAGATGGCCATGTAGCTAGCTTCCAAATTTGCCATAGATGAGTGAGCACCTCCAGTGCTGCATCAGTTTATTGAAACATTTTCATCTGTATTCCATCAATTCCTGGAAGTCTAATTTTTCACCGATGCC